TTCAATTGAAATGATCACATAAAAATGAGAAAGAGTGCTAAGATATTTCATGAAGTTAAAGAGAGCTAGCGTGGTGTATTAGTTTGGATATTGGACTTTGATTCTAGAGACCAGAGTTCAAATTCCAGCTTCGCCAGAGAGACCTTGGCCTCAGAGGAAGACAAAGGCTACCCCTCACTGAACAAATTGGGAGGGATAGCCAATACTCCAGAGGACAGGAGCAGAATTCAAAACGATCTTAACAGATTAGAGAGATGATGGCCAAAACTAACAAAGTGAAGTTCAACAGGGACAAATGCAAGATACTCCACTTAGGCAGAAAAAAAATGAAATGCAAAGATAGAGAATGGGGGACAATGCCTGGCTCGAGAGCAGTACGTGTGAAAAAGATCTTTGGAGTCCTCGTGGACAACAAGTTAAACATGAGCCAACAATGTGATGTGGCGGCAAAAAAAGCCAATGGGATTTTGGCCTGCATCAATAGGAGCATAGTGTCTAGATCTAAGGAAGTAATGCTACCCCTCTATTCTGCTTTGGTTAGACCACATCTGGAATATTGTGTCCAAGTCTGGGCACCACAATTCAAGAGAGATATTGACAAGCTGGAATGTGTCCAGAGGAGGGCGACTAAAATGATCAAGGGTCTGGAGAACAAGCCCTATGAGGAGCGGCTTAAGGAGCTGGGCATGTTTAGCCTGAAGAAGAGAAGGCTGAGAGGAGATATGATAGCCATGTATAAATATGTGAGAGGAAGCCACAGGGAGGAGGGAGCAAGCTTGTTTTCTGCTTTCCTGGAGACTAGGACGCGGAACAATGGCTTCAAACTACAAGAGAGGAGATTCCATCTGAACATTAGGAAGAATTCCTGACTGTGAGAGCCGTTCAGCAGTGGAACTCTCTGCCCCGGAGTGTGGTGGAGGCTCCTTCTTTGGAAGGCTTTTAAGCAGAGGCTGGATGGCCATCTGTCAGGGGTGATTTGAATGCAATATTCCTGCTTCTTGGCAGGGGGTTGGACTGGATGGCCCATGAGGTCTCTTCCAACTCTTTGATTCTATGATTCTATGAAATGTTGTCAATAGAAGTCTGTGATAGGTTCAAGTAGGGCCGCCATAAGTAAACGACTTGAAGACACATACCAACAATAATAACAAATCCCCTTCTGGTTGTCTACATGTTTCACTAATGTCTAACCTCTTTAGACAATGTTGGGCAGGGCTAGCCAAATATGTGATCTCTGGGGCATGTTGTGAGGTGTGGTTCTCTTGTTCAATTTTTGATTTTCCTGTTTATGATGTGAATAAGACTATTTTGAAGTGTGCTGAATTCTCCTTAATTGGTTTTTTTAAAACAGTAGTTTTAAAGGCCGCTTGTCAGGGATTCTTTAAGAGGGATGGACTAAACAAGGTCTAAATTAATTCACATTTGGAGTCCTTCCAATTGTAATTCCAGGATTTGAGTCACAGAACGAAGCCTGCAACAGGGAGCAGCTAGACGGTCAGAGAGTTTGCCAACAAACTGAAAAGGAAACCAAAGAAGACGAAATGGAGGGCAGAGAAAAAGAGGAAACCGACCTATCCAAACTTCTGACATCCTTTAGTAAGTATCCTGGATGGGGTGACTGGGTTTCTGTTTAAGTTTGCAGAGGGAAGGCCTCCCCCATGTTCAGATCTGTGTGTTTCTTGTTATATCACTATGAAATATCAAAGTTAAGTTAGTTCAGCTCTATTACTTCTGTGTTGGCTTTGATAAACAAAACCTCAACCTTCTGCTCTTACTGAATCCTTTTGTTGGGCAAAGTAACATTTATGGTTCCTTCCACACAGCTGTATAAAATCCACATTGAACTGGATTATGTGACAGTGTGGACTCCGATAACCCAGTTCAAAGCAGATATTGTGGCTCATCTGCTTTGATATTCTGGGTCATATGGCTGTGTGGAAGGCTCTCATGCAGCTGCTAGCATCACAAAACCACATTCAGGGAGGGAAAGAATATATGGTTTTTCCAAATGTACGGCTTTTTTTACCTATTTGTTGTTTGTTGTGAGCCTTCAAGTAATTATTGACACCCTAAAGCAAAATATCACAGGGTTCTCTTGGTAAGATTTATTCAAAGAGAGCTTGCTTTTGCTTCCCTTCCGTACAGCCATATAATCCAGAATATCAAAGCAGAATAACTCACAATATCTGCATTGAACTAGGTTATCCGAGGGCTCTTCCACAGAACCCTGTATCCCAGAATACCAAGGCAGAAAATCCCACAATATCTGCTTTGAACTGGGGCCGGATCCAGACAGGCCTTTATCTCAGGAAAATCCACATTTTAAAAACGTGGATTTTCCTGGGGGCCTGTCCACACCCACCCCAGAAAGTGCATGCTTTCTGGGGTGGGTGTCCAGACTTTCTCTCAGGCCTAGCCGGAGAGAACATCTGGGGGGCCTACCCCCACCTCTCCCCAAGCCCCCAGATACCTTAGAAAAGTAATCCAAACTTACATGGCCTCCGTTACAAGCCTTGGCGGGCTCTCTCGGCATGTAAAGATAATTTGCCAGGAGAGCGAGGGCATTTCTCTCCCCCCCCCCCCCCCCCCCCCCCCCGCTCTCCTGGTGTGTCATTTCTACACGCCAGGAGAGCCGGCTGAGGCTTGTAATGGAGACCGGGTAAGGTTTAATTACTTTTTAAAAGGTATCTGGGGGCTTGTGGGGAGGGGGTGGGTATTCCCAGTTTACCGGGTGGACATTCCCACAGTTTACCGGCCTTGAGTTGCCTTCGGGCTTGTGAAAGGTGGGATAGAAATATCGTTAATAAATAAATAATAAATAAATTTAGTATTCTGCAGTCCAGGACTGAAAATTGTGGATTTATCCTGTGTTTTCCAAGAAGGCACGGAATAAATCCACTATCAAATTAATTTGCTACAAACTGGTTTGTAGCTAATTAATTCAGGACTGTCCAGAATGTTGTCTGGACAGCCCCTCCTTTATTGCAGTAGATACCGCAATAAAGGTGCTGTCTGGACGGGCCCTGGGTTATCTGAGTCCACACTCAAATAATGCGGGATTTTCTGCCTGGACATTCTGGGATATAGGGCTATGTGGAAGGGCCCTCAGTCCACACTGCCATATAACCCAGTTCAAAGCAGAAAATGTGGGATTTTATACAGCTGTGTGGAAGGGGCCTTAAATCTCCAAAGATTATCTGCTTTGAATTGGATTATATGGCAGTGTAGAAAGGGCCTTAGGCTCAGTGTGACTCATCTAAAACTGCCCAGTGGGCTTCCATGGCTGAGCAGGGATTCAAAGCCTGGTCTCCAGAGACAAGGTTCATAGTTCAAACCACTACATCAGGGGTCTCCAAACTAAGGCCTAGGGGCCAGATACGGCCCTCCAAGGTAATTTACCCGGCCCTCGCTCAGGGTCAACCGAGGTCTGAAACAACTTCAAAGCACACAACAAAAACAACCATCCTATCTCATCAGCCAAAAGCGGGCCCACACTTCCCATTGAAATACTAGTAAGTTTATATATTGGTTAAAATTGTTCTTCATTTTAATTATTGTATTGTTTTAAGTGTTTTTGCACTACAAATAAGATATACGCAGTGTGCATAGGAATTCATTCATATATATTTTTCAAATTATAATCTGACCCTCCAACAGTTTGAGGGACTGTGGCCTGGCCCACTGCTTAAAAAGTTTGAGGACCCCTGCCCTACATCATGCTGGCTCTGCTTTGATCTCTATTTTTCCCATTCTTCACTTGCTTCCCCCTTTCTGCAGAAAAATGACATAGCTGTCTATCTGAAGATAGTTATATGCATTACATACAGCATACCTGAAGATAATTATATACATTAGGATACAGAAGGCATGGGCAAACTTGGGCCCTCCAAGTGTTTTGGGCTTCAACTCCCACCATTCCTAACAGCCTCAGGCCCTCCCCCCCCCTTAAGCTCAGCCGCTTAAGCTGTTAGGCTATTAGGAATGGTGGGAGTTGAAGTCCCAATTCCCTGGAGACCTAAGTTTGCCCATGCCTGGGATACAGACTTATAGCCAGTGTGGCACCACTTTAACTGCCAGGGCTCAGTGCAATAGCTTAGAGTCCTGCCAGCGTGCTGATATTTCATCAAGCTACAACTCCCAGGATTCTACAGCCTTAAGCCAAGGCAGTTAAAGTGGTGTTAGACTGTATTCATGCTCCTCCCTATGAGGAGCGGCTTAAGGAGCTGGGCATGTTTAGCCTGAAGAAGAGAAGGCTGAGAGAAGATATGATAGCCATGTATAAATATGTGAGAGGAAGCCACAGGGAGGAGGGAGCAAGCTTGTTTTCTGCTTCCTTGGAGGCTAGGACGCGGAACAATGGCTTCAAACTACAAGAGAGGAGAATCCATCTGAACACGAGGAAGAACTTCCTGACTGTGAGAGCCGTTCAGCAGTGGAACTCTCTGCCCCGGAGTGTGGTGGAGGCTCCTTCTTTGGAAGCTTTTAAACAGAGGCTGGATGGCCATCTGTCAGGGGTAATTTGAATGCAATCTTCCTGCTTCTTGGCAGGGGGTTGGACTGGATGGCCCATGAGGTCTCTTCCAACTCTTTGATTCTATGATTCTATACAGTGCAGACGCACCATAAGCCAGGCTCCTTTCCCTTCTGTCTCTTCCGGATAGCAATCAGAGAGCTTCCAAGAGCCAAATGAGGCGTGGCTTTAGACAGACCCCGCCCCCTCAGCGTGTGCTTGGTCTTGCTTAGCCCAGAACAACCGAATGGGGGCGTGGCTTTATACGGCCCCTCCCTCCAGACTCACCGCTTTGCTTAGCTCAGCACAAGAGGGCGGGGCCGGGGCTTATCCTGCCAGCCTTACCGCCTTGCTTAGCCCAGCACAAGCGGGTGGGGGCGTGGCTTTAAAAAGGCCTCGCCCCCTCTCTGCATCTCCGTCTTGCCTAGCCCGGCACAGGCGAGCGGGGGGCGGGTCTTATACAGGCCCCGCCCCCTTCACTTCGCCTCCGCTTTGCTTAGCCCAGCCCAGTTCAGCTCGGCCGGCTTACGGACCGCCTGATTGACACGGACCAAAGTTATCCCGGAATAAAGAGAGCACGCATGTGCCATCACACCGGATGTGAACGGGGTTGCCTTCGCTCCCTCACACAACAGAGTAGATGTGTGTCTATATGTATATGTATGCCAGGAGGAACCGTGCCGAGCCGTGCCAAACCGGTCCAGTTGCCGCTGCGCCAAAGAAAGGGAGAGAAAGGAAGGGACGGGGCTGAAAGGGGGGTGGGGGTGGCGCGGGGCTCAGAAACTGACCCGGGTCAAAAAGCCGGTCCGAGAGGGCTTAAGCACGGCTTGCTTTGCGGGAAAAGGGAAAGGGAAAGGGGTTGTTCCTTCTTCCCTGCGCGGGGTGTTTGGGATGGATTTCCGCGGGAAAAAGTACGAGCGGGGCAGCAACTGGTCGGACCCGGAGGTGGCGCAGCTGCTGCACTTGTGGGCCGACGCGGCGGTGCAAGCCGAGCTGGAGAGCTGCCTCCGGAACCAGCACGTCTTCAACCGCATCGCCGAGGTCCTGCGCGGGAAGGGCATCCGCCGCACGGGAGACCAGTGCCGAGAGAAGATCAAGAAGATGAAGCTCGAGTACCGGCGCCTCAAGGACAGCGGCGGAGGGGGCGGCAAGGCCGGCGCCCGAGGAGCGGGAGGGGGGCGCCCCTGGAAGTTCTTCCAAGTCCTGGACCGCGTCCTCGCCGGCCGAGCCCCCCACAGCCCCCCGGGGGAGCCCCGCCTACACCCGCACCTGGGACCCTCCGCCGCCCCCCAGGCCCCCTCCTCGCAGTCCCCGGAGCTGGTGGAGATCAAGTGCGAGGAGGAGGACTCCGAGGAGCAGGGCTTGGCCCCCCAGCTGCCCTCTGCCCTCCCTCACAGGCCAGAAATAGAGAGGACCTTTCTGGAGAGGTCCCAGGACGACTCTCCCCTCTCCCAGGTGGAGCCCCCCCTTGAGACCAGTGTCTCGCCTTCAGGTAGGACCCCCTCCACTCCATTAGCTGAAGTCTCCAACATCTGGGAGAGTGAACTACAGCATGGCAACGTTGCTTGACTTTTGGAGACTACAGCTCTCAGGATTTTCTAGTAAGCTGAGAGGTGTAGTCTCCAGGGTGATGGTCTTCATTGAGACCAATGTCTCACCTTCAATTAGGATAGCCTTAACTCCTGATGACCCTTAGCTGAAGTCTCAGGCATATGGAAAACTGAACTACAGCTTGGCAAAGTTGCTTGACTTCTGGGGACTACAGATCTCAGGATTTTCTAGCAAGCTGGGAAGTGTAGTCTTCAGGGTGATGGTCACCATCAAGGTCAATGTCTCACCTTCAAATAGGACTCCCTCCACTCCTTATGACTCTTAGCTGAAGTCTCAGACATCTGGGAGACTGAACTACAGCTAAGTTGCGTGACTTCTGGAGATTCTAGCAAGCTAGGAGGTGTAGTCTCCATTGTCTCACCTTCAAGTAGGATTCCCTCCACTCCTTGTGAACATTACTCAAAGTAATATAATAAGTGGACTCCCTCCAAATGTCTCGCCTTCAAGTAGGACACCCTCCATTCTTTATGAACATTAGCTGAAGTCTCAAACATCTGGGAGACTAAACAGTAACATGGCAAAGTTGCTTGAATTCTGGGGACTACAGCTCGCAGGATTTTCTAGCAAGCTGGGAGGTGTAGACTCCAGGGTTATGGTCTCCATTGGGACCAATGTCTCACCTTCAAGTAGGACTCCCTCCACTCCTGATGACTTAGCTGAAGTCTCAGGCATATGGAAAACTGAATTACAGCTTGACAACTTTGCTTGTCTTCTGGACTACAGCTCCCAGGATTTTCTAGCAAGCTGATAGGTGTAGTCTCCAGGGTGATGGTCTCCATTGAGACCAATGTCTCACCTTCAGGTAATATAATAATAATAAGAAATGGACTTCCTCCAAATGTCTCACCTTCAAGTAGGAATCCCCACTCTTTATAATCGTCAGCTGATGTCTCAAACACCTGAGAGACTGAACTATAACATGATAAAGTTGCTTGTCTTTTGGGGACTACAGCGCCCAAGATTTTCTACCAAGCTGGGAGATGTAGATTCCTGGGTGGTGATCTCCATTGTTTCACCTTCAAGTAGTACTGTCGCAACCCTGCACAGCGTCTCTTGGTATAACAGTCACACACGATGTTCGTCATCAGTCAGTCTGGAGTCAAAGCCAAATTAGATTCAAACAAACTAGACAGGGATAATCTAAGAGGCATAGTCAAAACTCCAGTCCCAAGAGTCTCACCAACACGTCCAAACTATAAGTAGTCCGAAGTCAAGGTCTAGCACACAAAGTCATCCAACAGACCTCCAAGTTGTAGCAGGTTCCAAACGTTGCTCCCAACACACACCAAATTCAAACTCTACTCTATGCTCCATAGCACAAGTGGTCTCAACTGTTGGTTCTTCTCTGTGCCAACTGGGTGGATCTACGCAGCTGAATAGCATGAGTTCTCAGTTGCAGTCTTTCTGGGATACTTAACTCTGCCTCATTCATCTCCTGATGCTGAGTAAACACAGGACTCCCCCTTGCCTGACTCCCCTCAGCACTACAGGGGTAGCTTCCTTGGAGCCAGGCTGCAGCTGTTGTTGTTCCCTGCTTTCCACTGTCTCAGATGCTGGGCCCGGCAACCCTTCATCTTCGTCTGTATTGCAGACCCTGATAGACTCCCTCCACTCCTTAGGACCCTTAGCCAAAGTCTCAGACATCTGGTGTAGTCACCAGGGTGATGGTCTCCATTGAGACCAATGTCTCACCTCCAAGTAGGACTCCCCCCACTCCCTACGACCATTAGCTGAAGTCTCAAACATTTGAGAAACAGAACTATAGTTTGATAAAATTGCTTGACTTTTGGGGACTACAGCACCCAGGAATGTCTAGCCAGCTGGCTGGGTTTCTGGGAAGTGTCATCTCCAGGTTGGAAGCCCCCAATGAGATTAGTATCTTGTCTTCAGGTAGGATAGCCTTAACCTAATGACCCAAATATCTGGAAGACCAAATTTGGGAAACGGAGCAAGAATTGTGGTCTCCACAGGGAGATCTTCATTGAGACCAGTGTCTTGCCTTCAGGCAGGTCTGCCTGTCAGTCTGACCATTAGTTAAAGTCTCAAACACCTGAAGACCAACACTTAGGAAACAGGACACTACAATTTGGAAAAGTCACTTTACTTCTGGGGGTTCGAGTTCCTAGAACTTTCTAGCATGCAAGCTGGGGTTCAGGGAGCCTAGGTGGAGATATCATTTGAAACCAGTGTCTCGCCTTCAGGCAGGAGTGCCACATGTCCTTATGCCCATTAGCTACATTTGGAGTGAGTTGTAGTAAAAAGCATCAAGTGAAATATAGGCAAAGACAGCCTTGCTTTCTGTTGCAATCGTACTGGGAGAGAAAATTTTCAGACCATAATCTTTGCAGGTTAGTGACCACCTTTCTAGTGAAACATAGTGGAGACTTTCATTAGTTTTAGATGGCAATTCTATACCTTCCAACATTTCACAAATGTAGACTTGGACTCATGTGGTGAGCCAAATCAGAGCATGATCATGATGACAAAAAGTTAATAATGACAAAGAGCACAAGCTAGGATGTGTGCTAAAATAAAAACCAGTTAATTTTAAATGCTACCACATGTCATGTTTTACCTCTTGCCCTTTCTCCTTTTATGCTGTAGGAGATTCATCATAATAATAATAATTTTACACACAGGATACACACAGTTCAAACACAGCTAAATAATAATAATAAATAATAAAACAAGTTAAAATTCATAAGTTAAAAATGACTGGGTAGGCCTCCTGGAAGCGATAGGTCTTCAGTTGCATCTTGAATTCCAGCAGCTGGTTTAGCTGCCATAACGCTTCCAGCAGGTCGTTCCACAGTCTTGGGGCGGCCGATGAAGAGGTCCTCTGGGTGATGGTTGCCATTTGGGTCCTGGCAGGCTGAAATAGATGCCCCTCAAAGGACCTAAGTGTTAGGAGACTATTGTACTGGAGAAGGTGATCCTGTAGGTACCCTGTATCACAGTATCTGTTATTTATTTTATTGGGAGCCCCCGATGGTGCAGTGGGTTAAACCCTTGTGCTGGCTGAACTGCTGACCAAAAGGTCAGCAGTTCGAACCTTTGGAACAGGGTGAGCTCCCATCTGTCAGCTCCAGCTTCCCATGCGGGGACATGAGAGATACCTCCCACAGGCATACCCTGGCATACCCTGGGCAGCGTCCTTGCAGACAGCGAATTCCCTCACACCAGAAGTTACTTGCAGTTTCTCAAGTCACTCTTGACATGAAAAAAAAAAACATGTTGAATTGATATCCCAGCTCTCCCCAAACTGAGTTTCAAGATTTCTAGTGCTCTAATGCATTTGTTTTCAGAGTATACTATGGAGAGCTCTAGATCTACTTAAAGGCTGTAAGGGGACAGCAAAGTTTAACCTTTACCGAGAAGTCTAAGATGACTGAAGTAATTGCTATAGATGGTTTCTTTTGTGTCTTTCCTTAGGTTTGAGTGAACCCAATATGGCTTCTTCCTCCCGGATCCAAAGTCTGGGGCCACGGCCTGGCTTTTCCACCTTGCACCGCTTGCGGAAGAAACGGAAAGCCCAACGGCTGAGGGATCCTTTGGATGCGCTCTTGCTGAAAACCCTGACTGCACAGCGGGAAATGGAGGAACGCTTTCTGCATATGGAGGAGTGCCGACTCCAGCGTGACCTGGAAGTGGAGGAGCGGCGGATACAGATAGAGCAGCGTCGTTTTGAGCAGGAACGGGACCATGAATTCCGCATGTTCAATGTCTTTGCCCAGATGCTCAGCATCTTAAAACAGAGCAATAATGGCTCTTCTGCAAGTGGGCAGCCTCAGGATATAGAGCTTAGCCGAACATTTTCGGAAAACACAGGAGTAGGAGAACGGGTGCAGGAAGAGGGAGAGACCCCACAACTACGACAACCCTTTTTGGACAGGAGAACCAGTGTACACAGTTGCGGCAATCACAGCAATGTCCAAAGCAGCCCCTTCCTCTCTGCCCGAGGCAACATGGCTAACATCTGCTGGGGCTCAGCTGAAGAGGGTTATAGTGCCTATCATGCTGACAAGTATGATGAAGACAAAAATCCCAATGTGAGTGATAGTCATTTTGCTACATGAAAAAAATTGTTTTGTTGATCAGGGTTTTTAATGATTAATTGCACACTTATGTAAGAAGCAATAAAAAAGCAGATTTCTGGCACCAGGCAACTACATGTCAACATTTGATTTAATGTTGATATGAGAGCAGGAGGGCGAGGGGAAATGCAGTTATGAAGTTTTGGTTTGCCCAGAGGTTGAATTGAGCAGTCGAACCCTAAGTCAAAGATGTACTAGGTACTATGCTGACCAATCTCGGAGATCGGCCAACAGAAGAACTTGCTAGCAGCACCCTTCTGCAGATCAAGGCCCCATATACACACCAGAAGCGACTTGCAGTTTCTCAAGTCGCTCCTGTCATGAAAAAAAAGTTATAATGTTGTAGCAGGGTAAATTCTAGAACTTGTCATCATAGAAAACTCTAATACAGACTAAGAAACAATTGCAGGCAGTCCCTGAGTTACAAACATCCGAATTGGAAACAACTCATAGTTAAGAACGAGGCTAAACAACAGAAAGTGTGAGAAATCTACCGCTCGGATTTCTACCTTCCCCATGATAACTCCTAAAAGAGCTAAAAGAGTTATCATGGGGGAAAGATGTCTCAACTTAAGCTTTATCACCAATCCTTGTTTCCACAACAAGCCAAAATTTTCAAAATCCAATTATCACAGGGACAGAAAGGGAGATAAAATCTTTTGAACAGGGGCACAGACAGCAAAATAAACACCACAGGGGTGTTAACCCTTTCCTATGATATCCAAAGCATTTATATTATATTATATTACATTATATATCCTATCATATCCGATTTGTCATTGATCCACTCCTTGGGGCTTCACGCAAATCTACAGTTTGCCAAAATATACAATCCTGTGCTTTTCTTTTCCATTTCTGGCCAAATAGCTTAACCATTGGTTCGTCCCATCAAGTACAAGGTCTGCCCAAGGGCCACTTGTGGTCTTGGTATCCAGTTCATTAGTCAACGTGTCCATCAGTTGTCTTTTGTTTGTGCTATATGCCCTGCCCATCCTCTTTTTGCCTAATAGATGTCATTGATTACATCATGTACCCTGGTTCTTTGACACAGCTCTTTATTGCGTTCTCTCTCTCTCTCTATATATATATGACTGGAGTATATATATGAGAATGTTTACGTATTTTCTATGAAATGTGATTTTTGAGATGCCAGCTAATATTAAAGACATATATGTGCAGAGATGGATTATTTGCCTTCACAAAACTTCTGTGTCTTTTCTCCAGGGCATCATTAATTTTGGCACCAGTGAGAATAAACTCTGCTTTGATCTGATGTCCAAGCGGGTAAGAGCATTTTACATGCATTTCAAGCCACAGTAATAGCTTTCCTAATTAGTCGTAGTTTGACATTCATTTGCATCTTAATTTTGACACTAGTTGGCCCTTTTCTGCTTGGGTCGCTTACGAATTGTCTCCTTTTTTTTGTTTGGTAGAAAATGCATCTTTATATGGTTGTTTACTGTCAGCCCAGTGATCTCCTGTATCTCTGTGTAGTAGATTCCATTTCTGTTTCTTCCTTGAAACTTCTACTGTCTCGCTTCTTCTAGCAGGGAGCTTTTCATGGAGCACATGGGAACAAAGCAAGCAAAGAAGGCAGTGGAGACAGTAGGCCTAACAGCCATTGAGTCCCCGGTGGCTCAATGGGTTAAACCCTTGTGCTAGCTGAACTGCTGACTGAAAGATTGGCAGTTTGAATCTGGGGAATGGGGTGAGCTCCCATCTGTCAGCTCCAGCTCCCCATGCAGGGGCATAAGAGAAGCTTCCCACAGGATGGTAACACATCCAGGCATCCCCTGGGCAACGCCCTTGCAGGCAGCCAATTTTCTCACACCAGAAGCAGCATGCAGTTTCTCAAGTTACTCCTGACACAAAGGAAAAAAAAGCTACTTCCTTTAAAAAGGGGTCTCTAGGTAAACATTTTCCTATCAAGTCTGGAGCTCACTAAAGTGATGGATCTCAATAGTTGGTCTTCCAGATATTTTGAATGTCAGTTCCCAGAAGTCCCCAGCAGGCATAGCTAGTAGTCAGGTATTCTGTATGTTGAAGTCCAGAACATTTTTCCAGTTTAATGTTTGAAAAATGATGAACCTCGGAACAATTGAGTGGAAGGGACATAGAGTGAAAGCATAATACAAGTTATCTGAAATGCTTGGAACCAGAAGTGTTTTGGATTGTGATTTTTTTTATTTTAGAAAGCGTTTATTTGCATAAACGTATATGATAGAACTCAAGTCTAAAAACAAAATTAATGTACCATAAGCACCTGAAGGAGAAAGCTTGTAGGTAATTTTATACCGTGTTTTAATTTTATGCTCGAAACGAAGTTTGCATTCACTGAACCATCAGAAAGCAAAGGTGTCACTATCTCATGTGGCTAATTTTGGCTTTTGGAGTAAAGCGAGGTATAAATAAATATAATAAATAAATGTATAATAAAAAAGGCAAATATATTTCCTGCTATGAACCATCACGTATCTTAAGATCGTCAGGAGAGGCCCTGCTCTCAATCCCACCACTCTCGCAAACACGGTTGATGGTGACAAAAGACAGGGCCTTCTCGGCAGTGGCCCCCTGTCTGTGGAACTCTCTCCCTAAGTACATCAGGTTGGCCACCTCCCTCCTGTCCTTCAGAAGACAATTGAAGGCCTAGCTCTGGGGCCAGGCTTTTGACTAGAGTATAGCGGCAACATGGAAAGGAATTTTGGAATTTTTACGACATTGGATTCTCCTGACTTGGTTTTTGGCTTTACCGGCACGTTAGTGTATTCTTAAATGAATGTATTGATGATTTTGTATAAGGCTTTTAAAATGATTTTACTGTTTAATTACAATTTTATGGTGTAGATGTTGTTAGCATCATTTGATGCTTATGTGAGGCCTCCCCTGAGTCCCCTTCTGGGGAGAAGGGTGGGGTAGAAATATATTAAATAAATAAATAAATATTGTTTTGTTATCCCGATAAGTTTTTCTTTAAATGCATGGGCTCTGCTTCAAATTTCAAACTGGGTTCTTGAATACAGGTGTTCTTCTACCAGTTATCCTACATATTTTATGCTGACATAGTATTTGCTCTTTGGAGTGATATCCTTGTTGCAATTAAATTAAATGGTATGGACAGCTTGATGATGGAAAAAATGTGATTGTTTTGGGGTTGTGTGTGTCATTTAAAGAATGTATAAGAAGAATACGCTCCATCTAAATACAGAAAATATTAGCCTAAGTGTTTGGTTCTGCTGGCTCATACTTTGCTTTCAGTTTCTGAAGATTTTCATGATTATTTCCTCTCCTTCTCATTACTGGTAGTTAACACAAAGTGACATGAATGTCATGGAACCACCATTCCTGCAGTATCCAGACTGGAAGGGCCACATGTTGTAAGTATTATATGCCCTTTACCCTTCTGAATGTTTTCACCTTATGTAAACTGGATAAGGGGGATTAGCATTATTATTGCTAAAATTATCATTATTGCAGAAATTTAAAATTAAGAATACAGGCAGTCCCTGAAGAACGGGTGGGGGTGGGGGTGGGGTGGGGAGTCAACAGAGAGAGAAATCTACCCCTCAGAAGGGAAATTAACTCCTGAAGGAATTATTATGGGGAAAACGTATCTCCACTGAAGCTTTCTCACCAATTTTTTACTTCCACCACAAACCACATTTTTCAAAATCCAATTATCACGGCGGCAGAAAGTGAGATGACATTTTCTGGACAAAAACAAATACCACAGAAGTGGGTTAACCCTTCCTTGTGCTATCCACAGCTTCTATCTATCTATCTATCTATCTATCTATCTATCTATCTATCTATCTATCTTTGATTGGAGTTACATTTTAAATGTGCCAGTTCTGACTTACAAACTAATTCAACTTAAGAGCAAACCAACAGAACCTATCTTGTCCATAACTTGGGGACTGCTTGTAATAGATAAAGATTAAAATCACTACTAGAAGTGACAACGGAAATGTAGCTGGATGGTGGTGATACATGAATAATTTGGAAACCATGTACACACCATGAAGATGATGGTAAAGCTTACTAATTATTGATACATAAGAAAATAATTGATATAAAGGTTGACATAAGGAGTATTTGTGCTATATAGCGAAGAAACACACTCTCCCTGGCTTTTAGTTTAACAGCAGCTGTGAAAAGCCCAGAGCACTGTTTCTGTCTGGTACAGGAACAGTGTTGTCTATCACAAAACCTTTGTGATCTCTTTCAGTACAACTTGTCATTACTGGGAAGCTGAGTTTTGCAAAGACTAACTCCATGGTTGCTTTTGTGTATCTTTCAGCTTGCGAGAGGAAGTGGCTCAATTTTTGACTTATTACTGTAAGGCACCTGCACCTCTCAAGGCAGAAAATGTAGGTCAACTTACTTTCTAGTTTGTTTGTTTGTTTGTTCCCACAAATGTATTGGAATTCACTGTCAGGCAGCTTTATCTAGAGATGGGCACCTGACACAAAACACTGAAAAGCCATATTGCTGCCATTATATTTAATGTTGTGAGCAGTAGGAGAGTGTTGTAAATCGACATTTATTCCTGCTACAGCTGCCAGCGCATTAGCACCATGTGAAAAATAACTAGGGAGTATGAAATTCATGACCTGACTGGGTTATGTTACAATAATGCTGGAAGTGTTATGTGTTTTTCATGTGTAATGCTGTTTATTTACAGCATTCAATGAATAGTTTTCATGACAATATAATTTAATTTCTTTTTTAAATTCTTTCTAACTCTAAACCAGATTTGTAAGTATTTTTCTAAAAAGTTATTAACCCATATCCCACTCATGTTACTAGTCCGCTCAAATGTAGCAGTGGAGAAACAAAAGCCATGTATCCATACTGGCCATACTAAAAGACTGAGTAACTCTGCCTCACTCACTTGCATAGATTCTTTACACTAACTTACATGCAGTTCTTACTTGCCAGTGATTACTGTATGAATTTCATGAATTTCATACAGTTTTCTTAAATAAGGAATACTCAGAGGTGGTTTTGCCAGTTCTTAGCCCCTATATATAGAGCCATTCTCTTACTGTGCTGTCCTGTCCTGTCCTGTAAATGTCAACTGTGTGAAGAAAAAAACAATGTGTTTGGGTTGGAATGATTAGCTGTTTACAAGAAACGTTGCCCAGTCTATTTACTCAGTCTTCGAGAAGGCTCTTTCCATGTCCCCCAAGGTTGAACACTGTGAAAGCCATCCACTGCATGGCTATCAGCCTCCTCCCAGTAGACTCAAATCAATGAAAAGCTTCATGAGAACCACCACTTCTCTTAAGAGTATCCCTCTGGGCAGCTAAATCAGGAAATCCCAATTGGATGGCCTCGCACGAGGGTCTGCCTTCAGGGGCAAACCAAGAATGGGCAACTTGGAAGTCCCTGAACAGGCTCAGAAGTGGAGTGGGCAGATCAAAAGGCAACCTGGCAAAATGGCAGTACCTAAACAAATCCTCCACCTTGTGCGACTGTAGAGCAGAACAAACAACTCTGCATCTGTATGCTTGTCCACAATGTCCTGCCTCATGCACTTGTTTGAAGCTACAATTCTGTTGCTATTGTCTGCTTTTGGTCTAAAGTAATTCAGTCGCTTGTGTTCCCTCTATTTTTATCAGTTTTATACTTATTTGGGCAATGCTTTTGACACAAAATAAATAAATGTCTACTTTAAAGTAAGCCTCTAAAGTCATTGAGACTTACTCTCATATACAGGAGCTTAAAATTTTCACAGTTTTATCAATTTGGTTAAGAAAGTGTGCTCAAAACACTTCTTAGAAAATACTTTCTTGGCTTGGCATGAACGTTTTATAATATTTGATCATGCTTAATCAATAAATGCTGATGAGAACAAATTGCTTGTTTTCCATCCCAGTTTTTGAGGTGCTCCTATACCTCAGCTAGTTTCCTTTTGTAGATTTGATATCCCTTTGATTTGAACCTTAGTCTGCATTCTCAGTCATTTTCAAGTTTGACGCTTTGCCCATAAAGACAGCGCTTATGAAGATAGCCTCCTCAGTCCATAAGCAGAACAGCTCAGAACAGTTTTATTAATGTAATTGGAATTGGAACAAGAAAAGATTTTTGTCTTTGCTTCTCACTGGGAATAACCTCTCGCACAACATTTCTTCTTTAGGTGATTGTGCAAAATGGCTGTGGCTCTCTGTTTTCTTCTTTGGCTACAGTTCTTTGTGAGCCAGGGGGTAAGTGAAATTTCTTGAGCAATTTAATATATTAATGTATCAGATGGCAACAAAGGAGACTAAAACAGCAATGAAGCTTTTTGTGCTTAAAGCAGCATTTCTGCCAGGATATGACATGTTTTTTGCTTATGCCCATTACAGCAGAGTGTAATCTATTAAATACTGTGTTTACTCAAGTCTACTGCATCATCAAATCTCATGCATACCTCCATTTTCAAAACCCTATAACCGAAAAAAAATATTTGCTGCTGAAGTAAAGTGCAGTGGCAACAAGTGCCCTCTTTGTCATTCAGCCATTACAGTTGCTGCCTGTTTCAGATTCCTTCTTTAAAGTGTTAGAACACCAAAGCTTTCAGTAATATAAATGAAAACTTTGGGATGCATCAATGCTGTAGAATGAATGCACTTTAGCTGCCCTGGCTCAGTGCTCTGGAGTCATAGGGGCTGTAGTTTTACAACGTCTTGAGCCTTCTCTACCAAAGAATGCTGATGCCTCACAAAACTACAAATCCCAGGATTGCATAGCATTGAGCAATTAGAGATTACATCCCTCGAAAAGGAGCTCCAGGTGCAGCTTTTGAAACAGCTTCCTCTTTTGCTTTGGCTCATCACTAAGATTGCCCAATTTTGCGAATCTAATGCACTCCCTAATTTTGGCAAGGCCAAAAAAGGTGAATATTAGATTCAAGTAAATAGGGTAGTTCCTGCTTAATCAGAACAAGTCTGGAACATACTTGATCCTATGAGATGCTACTGCCAGGAGGTATATTACAAAGCAGAAATTCTATATTAGTAAAGGTAAAGTTTTCCCCTGACATTAAGTCTAGTTGTGTCTGACTCGGGTGGTGGTGCTCATCTTCATTTCTAAGCCAAAGAGCTGGCGTTGTCTGTAGACACCTCCTAGGTCATGTGGGCAGCATGACTTCATGGAGCACTGTTACCTTCCCGCCAAGGTGGAACCTATTGATCTACTCACATTTGCATGTTTTAGAACTGCTAGGTTGGCAGAAGCTGGGGCTAACAGCAGGAGCTCATCCTGCTCCCTGGATTTGAACTGTCAACCTTTCCATCAGCAAGTTCAGCAGCTCAGTGGTTTAACCCACTGCTCCACCAGGGGACCCTACGTTCTATTTTATTTATTTATTATTTGTTTAAAACATTTATATCCCATCCTTCTCAACCCCAAAGGGGACTCAGGGCAACTTACAATTGGCAATCATTAGATGCCGACAAAGAACATTTACAGCACAGCAATTAACATAAACAGGTCAACAACAGTAAAAAAAATACATTAAAAATAATGGCCCTTATTAGGTGTACAAATAATGCCAATGTTTGTACTTAGGCCAAAACCTTTATTATTAAAAGTCTGTGTGCCAACTTTTTGAGCTTGTACACCTACCCTCTTTGTATAGTGTATTGACATGCATGAATTTTGTGATATCACTGTATGACAATGTCTACAGGATTTCAAATTTCATAGAAGCAGTGTAGATTGCAGAAGAACCTATTGGGTCATGTAAGAGACACACTCATTTTTGCTAGCAAATTCTGTGTTAAAATTGATAATATTTGATCGAGCAGGTGATGGGAACATAGGGAAGGAAATTAGCTTTATTTAGATGTCTTTGAAGCTGTATATGGGTCTTCAGCATGATATAGTGATTTGAGCATTGAGCTACAACTCTAGAGACTAGTATTGGATTCCTATCTTGGCTATGGAAACCCACTGGGTGATGATAGTGAGTCACACTCTCAGACCCAGAAAACCCTGTGTTAGGGTTGCCTTAGGGTTGCCAAAATTCAGAAAAAACTTTGAAGGCACAACAACGAGTCTTAGTGATTTTATTGACTGTAGTACATATTATAGGACATTTGAAGTGTTCTTCATCTCCAGAAATGATGGACAAAGAAGTACCAGGGAGAGCTTCTTCTTTTTTCCTACTATGTTTCTGGATCATATTCAAAGAGAGAATGATGTGCATTTTCCTGACACTAAAGGTGAATGCTTTTCATGCTGTGGGGATATACACTCCTCTCTTCCTTTGAAGATATAAGGAATAACTGAATGAACTGTTTTTAAAGAATATCTAGAGTGTACATTAGAGGAAATGAGTCTCTTCTTTCTTTTTTTTAACAAACACACCAATTGAGTTATTGTGGCATAGGTTCTCAGAGGTTTCCAGAATGTTCTTGTTTCTTCTTCATTCTTGTTTCATACTGGTAATTCTATTGTATTCTTGAATGAAGATCAGAACCTAGTCCCCAGTCTGAAACTGGATTTTATGAAACATGTGGGCTCTGTTGCAGCACTGGTTAACTGGCTTTATTCTTTTTTGCTTTCAGAAGCCTTCATGATTCCCACCCCTTTCTATGGGGGCATCACCCAAAGTGTGTTTCTGTATGGAAATGTGAAGTTAGTCTATGTCTATTTAGACAGTCAGGTGAGGAAGTGGGTAACTGCAATTTTGTATAACCCTATAGTTCTTTGTGGCTACAAATCTTGACAGTATGCATATTAGGATTTCCAGTCATGGGGAATTTTGTGGGTTAGGTGCTGAACTGGTCAGCAGAGGATGTCAGAAGCAGCGTTGTACATAAGGTCTGGAATGCAGGTGTAAATTCACTTTACTTTAATGTGCCTCATATTTTTGGTTGTTGCAAAGACTGACATTCTTCTTGGAGCATGAAGCAGCACTAGCTCTTGTTTGGTTCAGAAGCTATCATGGAAAATAATGAGTTGTTTGTTAATGTTCCAGGTTACTGGCACATGTACCCGTCCATTCCAACTCACTGTGGAAAAACTCAATAAGGCCTTCCAGAATGCACAGTCAGAGGTGAGTTTGAGAGATCTTATGCTTGATGGAACTACTTCCAGGCAACAACATGTGGGTAGTCATTGACAGGCTTTTGAATGTTTAGAAATTGGATATACAATAGGCCCTCCACTTTTGTAGGGAATTAGGACCCTTGTGAAAATGGAAAAGCCATGAATGTTTAAAAGTGCCCTCTTTTTACCTTTCTAAGCCAAAGAGCCGGTGTTGTCCGTAGATGCCTCCTAGACATCATGTGGCCGGCATGACTGCATGGAGCACCATTACCTTCCCGCAGAAGTGGTACCTATGGATCTACTCACATTTACATGTTTTTGAACTGCTAGGTTGGCAGAAGCTGGGCATAACAGCGGGAGCTCACCCTGCTCCCCGGATTCAAACTGCCAATCTTTTGGTTAGCAAGTTCAGCTGCTCAGTGGTTTAACCCACCACGCCATCAAGGGGCCCTAGAGATTTTTACTGAGACAGTGTTTTGAACATATTGAGTGTCAGAGAGATAGCAACCTTGGTTCCATCCCCTGTCAAAAGCCTAAATTGATTGAAAAATGCTGAAGAGCTTTTACAGCCTCCCTGACCCCATTCTTTCTCAAATATTTAACTTCAACCTTACTGTTAAAGGGCCTTTGGGCATTTAAAATGTACAAACAAAAGACTCTGTAAGAGGAAAGTGATCAAATTGGTACAAAGTCTGGAAACTGTGCCCTGTGAGGAGCATATGTTCATTTAGCCTGGAAAGGAAAAGGTCATGAAGTGATGTGATATCCATGTTTAAATATTTCAAAGGATGTCATAGTGAAGATGGAGAAAGCTAGTTTTCTGCTTCTCCAGAGACTAGGACACGGTGCAATGGATTCAAAGTACAGGAAAAGAGATTCTACCTAGATGTTAGGAAGAGCTTCCTGACAGTAAGAGGTTTTCAACAGTAAAATACACTACCATCGCTTAACATTGCAAGTATGATGGAGTCTCCCTCTGGGTGTTTTTAAACAAAGGCTGGATGGTTGTCTGCAGGAAGTGATTGGACTGTGTATGCCTACGTGACAGGATAACACTTTTTGGGTCAGATGATGTGGGCTGTTCTATACAAAGTTTGTCCCATAATAAATATGTTGGTTTTTAAGATACATAGAGGTGGTAAATTCTCTAAAGCAAATTACTGCAAAATAAAGCAGTTTTTTGACAGGTTGTGTATTACATTAGAGGCCGTAAGTTTTTTTGTGCATAGGTTATTAACATATTCTGATGTTCTTTCTTCTTCTTCTAGGGTGTCAAGATAAAGGGTTTAATTCTCCTGAATCCACAAAATCCTTTAGGAGACATTTATTCTCTCTCAGAGTTACACGATTACTTGGAGTTTGCCAAAAGGTATGACAACCTCAAAAGCATGATTGGTGACATTTGTAGTTTGATGCTCAAATAGACCAAATACTTTAGGCAACCGAATCTGTTTGGAATATGTGTATGTTGTGTGCCTTCAAGTAATTTCAACATATAGCAACCCTAAGATAAATCTATTATCGAGGTTCTTGAAAAGATTTCATCACCAAGGATTTGCCATTGCCTTCCTCTGAGGCTGAGAGATTGTGACGTGTCCAGATTCACCCACTGGGTTTTCATGAGTGAGTAGCAATCCGAACCCTGATCTCTAGAGTCATAGTCCAAGACTCAAAACATGCTACCATGCTGGCTCTTTAGAGGTAAGAGCTGATGAAAAGTAACTTTTAAATGCTGTACCCCAGGACCAGGTGCTGACTCAAAGTTGTAGTTTTGGCCCTGTCTGCCAGTGTTTTTTATAGCATAGGCAGAGGCAACTGTACAAAAAAAATTGGTGGAGATACAGTTCAGCAACATGTGAAGAACCACACTTTACCTTCCCTGCACAACTATAAATAAAGTAAGTAAGATTCATAATGCTTATACTAATAATAACCATTGCATCTTACTAGCTTTATAATTGTTTTAATTGTTTTAATTGATTTTATGGATCCTAGCTATTGGAATTGGCTATGACATACCTGTATACTAAGAATTGTGCATTGCTTCATTCAGTAGTTTTACAGAAGCAGTGGACATTTTGTGGTAAACAGCAATAGCACAACCACCCCAAGCAAGCATAGAAATAGTACCCCAGCATCACATTTTGGAAACAACTATCCAATTAAGAAAATAAGTAATTGAGCACTCCTGTTGGCCTGGGGCAGGGGAGAGGTTTGGAGGAAGAAGAGTGTCACCAAAAATATTCAGTAAGGGGGTTCCTGATATAAGAAGCAGCAAGAGAAAAAATGATGGGAGCAAAAAATCTCCTGATGTCTGATGGTTGATTTGGAAGATAAAAAGTAGGGTTGAAATTGCTGGATTCCATTACTGTACAATAAGCAGTTATGTTGTTTTCTTTGTATGGAAAATTGGCTATTCTAGGCAGTGTTAAATAAGGTTGTGAACAGATCAGTTTTCAAAAAAGGTCCTCAGCTGGTTTGGCTGGTTCGGACATCCGTAACGACATAGGCTCTGCCATCATTTTTTTTTCTGGCCACAACAGAACAGTGGCAGCTGAAAAACTGTTGCTTTTGGTTTCTGTCGGCTACATGTAGAGTACAGAGAGGGAGGCAACTGCTAGAAGGAAAAGGATCCCAGAAAGGGTGGTTTCTTAAGCCTATTGCCTTAAACCCAGGTCTCCTTGAAAAATAGAAAAGAAAGGATAGCAAAAAGAGTGGTTTCTTAAAACCGATGACCTAAAAATGACAGAAAGGGGAGCCTCGTAAGTTCCCCATTGCTGCCAATGGGCCGGATCTTCCCGGATCTTTTGGTTGCTGAGCCAAAAATGGCTTTTTTCCATTTGCCGATTTCGGGAGGCTTCTGAAAACAGTTCTGGGTACCTACCGAAATTCAGATACCAAAAACAGATAGCGGCCCAGCCAAATTGCACAACCCTAGCATTAAACCAAAGCTTGCTTCTGACTCTTATCAGTGGACTGCTTTGTGTGTCAGAAGAAAGGAATTAGTTATGTGGCAAACCCGATGTCTACATGGAGGTTATCTTTTATTGAGAGTATAAATGTAGCTGGTGGTTATGATGCTTTAACTCCTTTTGTGCTCTGTGATTTAAGATGTATTTTCACATTCATCTCCAGATTCCTGTTAATTGGTACCCAGTAATCTCCTAAACTATTACTTGAAAATGTTTCCTCTCTTTTGTTGTCTTCTAGGCATGAATTACACGTGATTGTGGATGAGATCTACATGCTGTCAGTTTTTGATGATTCCACTACATTCCACAGTGTGCTAGAAATGGAGAGGTAATGCCAGCTGGAGTGCTGTAGTCACTTATTAAGAACAGATGCCGGTTTTGAAAACTTTGGTGGGAAAACAAGAAGCAACAGTAAACCTAACTCTAGCAAAGAGTATTGTTGATGTATAAGACCCTTTCCATTCAGAAAGTGGCAGCTTTTGTTGGGCAAGTGTGATTGATACCTTCCCTTGTAATTTGAGAAGAAAATGCTTCCAATGTTTCCCCATTAGTTTTGTCTGGATTATTCCACAGGAAGAAAAATATTAAATATTCTGTACCATCCTAAGATTACTTGGGCTTTTCTGTATTTATACAACTATTATCAAGTATAGTTTGGTCCTTAAAATGAAGTTTTAATATATTTTTAAGGAGCACAATGAGCATGTCATGATTTGGAACATTTGTTTGATATCAATAACGCTTCACAACTGTTGATAAAATTGCTGTATTCATTTTCCTTTCATGCAGATTACCTGATCCACAGAGGACCCACGTGATGTGGGGAACTACTAAGGTGAGTTCTGTTTTCTTATATTCAGGTGATGTTATCTCAAGAGACTTGGACCATGTGTGAGAAAGAAAGAAAGAAAGAAAGAAAGAAAGAAAGAAAGAAAGAAAGAAAGAAAGAAAAAAGGGAGGGAGGGAGGGAGGGAGGGAGGGAGGGAGGGAGGGAGGGAGGGAGGGAGGGAAATGCTGGATGGGTCAAAAGATGTATTCATGTTATAACTGTGTAATGATTTGTCTCACTTCAACCTGGCAGGATTTTGCTATCTCTGGGATTCGGTTTGGAACCCTATACACACTGAATCAAGATGTCGCCAGTGCTGTTGCTTCCTTGTGTTACTTGCATGGGGTCAGTGGGCCTATCCAGCACAAAATTGCACAGCTACTTAGAGACAGAGGTGAGAAACAGATCTAATGGGCCCTTAGTCTTCTGTTCTTCCTGAGAGGAAGTGCTATCAATAAGTAAGGCAAGGTGTATTTTGATCAGCGTCTTAACAGCAAAATCTTCAGTGGTTGAGAAAGAGAAAATAAAGGAGTAGATTGAAGTAGCCAGTCTATTGTTTTATATGTGATGTTGGCAGTGGTGGAAATTCTTAATGAATTTCTTGTTTATGGGCTCCTGTATACTTGTGCATCCCTTACTCTGTAATTACCACTATGCAAATGGATCATCAGAGTTCAGATAGGACAGGCAGAATGTGTCCATTGTCTTTGTTGTTACTATTATTGACCACCAAGTTGACTTTGACTTACGCCAACCCCTATGAATGACAGACCTCCAGAAGCCCAGGTCATCCACTCCCTTTCTCGAGTCTTGCAGACACATGCATGGCCATGGCTTCCTTCATTTAGTCCATTCGCTTGTAGCCCACTCTCCCTCTTTTCCTACTACTTTTTGCTCTACCAAGCATTATCTTTTTGTTTAATGAGTTTCATCATGTCCCAATACGTCCAAAGTCTGATAGTGAGAATTTAGGCTTGGGTTTGCTTTTAGAGCCATTCATTTTTTGTAGCCCATGCATTTCAATGAGATTATGTTCTTCTTATCAGGTCTCTTCACTTTCTTTATATACATACAGAGAAATTGGAAAGACTATAGACTGGATGATGCTGACTTTATTATTTTATTGCCTGAAGCACAAGCTTTTTCAGTGGAGTTATTTCACATATTTAATTGTGAAGTTAATAAGAAATCAGGTTAGTTTGTATATGTGTTTAAACCTGCCCTAAGTGTATTCTACTTAACCCTAGACTGGATCAACCAGGTGTTCTTACGGGCCAACCATGAGAGGCTGAAAGCAGCCCATACTTTTGTGACAGATGAGCTGAAGACACTTGGGCTTCCCTTCCTCAATCGCAATGCAGGCTTCTTTGTGTGGATTGACTTCCGAAAGGTTAGTAGTTATAGGATACCTGCTGGATCAAAGCAAGGATCCATCTGACCCAGTATTTTTTTCAGTAATGGCAAGCTGGATGTTTTTTGCAAGTAGAATAAAAAGACAGTTTGTATATGGCATCTGGTATTCATGCGAGATTCTGAGAAATATTAATCTCAATAATACTTTTTGAAGCTCTGAGTCCTATATGCATTGCATCAGAACATGAAGATTCCACTTGGTTATCATAAAAGCTACACTGATAGACCTAAGCTCTGTTCAAGTACTCTGAGGGACAAGAGAAGATTCGTTTCTTCACAGACATGTTTTTCTTTTTCAGTGTCCTCTATACAAGGAATGCAAGTTTAGAAAGTTTGATTTCTGTACAGAGCACCATTGCCTCACAGAGGAGACAGTATTAGGGGTGGGCTTTCTAACTTGTCCTAAGGTAACATCTTACATTTCTACTCTCCTTGAAACATCCCAGAGCTGGTTTAAGTACTGTGAAGGTCTAAGATCCCATCTGATTTGGAAGCTGAGCAGGATCAGGCCTGCTTAATATCTGGTTAGGGAACCACCATGGGAGACCAGGTATTGTAGGCTGTATCAGAGCAAATAACCTCTTAATATTTATTCTCTAACAAAATCCGATTAAGTTTATGTTGCTGCCATTAGTGACTTGAAGACACACATACACATTTTGCAGTTTATTAAATGCTGTTAGCCACCTTGAGTCCTCTCGGAGAAACAGGAAGGGTATAAATAAAGTAAACAATAATAATTGTTTTCATTACAACCAAGTAAAATATGCAAACACCGCAACTTCGTTTTTGCTTCATGAGCAGAACTTGAAAAGGTTCCCAGTTCCTTTCACTCTGTTAGAATCAACTTTGCCACATTCCCAGAAACAGGAAAATGCTTCCCTTGACTCCTTTAAATCTGTCTCCTCATAATATGTTTGTTGACTCTTCCCTTTGATATTGACCAATTCCAGTACTTGAGGAGAGGAACGTTTGAAGAAGAAATGATACTTTGGAGGCGGTTCTTGAGCAACAAGGTCCTGCTGTGTCATGGGAAAGGTTTTGAGTGCTGTGAACCTGGCTGGTTCCGCATCATTTTTTCTGACAAGATCCAACGTCTGCAGCTAGGTCAGTACTGTTCTCCCCTTGGTAACTTGAAGAGCCAAATGTAACCCACTTGATGGGTTAGGATGTCTCTCTTATCTTCTGCCAGATGGCCTCAAGGCTACTTTCAAATACACATACTTCCTAATAAACGATAGCAATTTTTTTAAAAAAACAGATGAAAAGGGGATCCAGAAATGAAATGCCCCTAATAAAGACAGTATAAAATAACCTATTGTTACATTCAAAGGGCCATTGAATCCATGGATGGAGAACCTGTGGATACAGCAGACCACCTATAACTTTTTTGCATAGTTTTTACCTAGTTTGGGTCCCCAGGTGTTATTGAATGACTGCTCCCATCACTTTTGATTATCCGCCATGCACTGGGGATAATGGGAATTGCAACCCAACAGCATATGTGGCTCTGAGGTTGGGGAAAGGTTAAAAGACATTTTAAAGTCATATATCATATCCACAAGCCTTGTATCTCAGTTCAAACCCCACTATCCTGACTAAACAAAACAAAGTGCAGCCTTCCGGATTTTACTGTATCATAACTCCCATCAGCTCTCGTTACGATGTCTAATGATGAGAAACACAGGAGTTGTAGTCCAGCATCTGGAGGAACATGTAAAATGACATGAAAGGCTGGATTCAGCCCATGGACCTCGAGTCTGACATGTGCTATAAAGAATCCCTGTTTCTCTTAAAAGTATAGAAGAGAATGGACTTTATTTGGTGCCTGAAAATTAACAGAAGAAGGCAGGAGAGTAAGTTTGGGAAGGAATTTTCATAACCTGGGTACCAACAATAAAAAGGCCCCTTCTCCCCCATCTAAGAAAAGGTGAATCCAGAGAAAGGTAGCTGAAACATCCTAATTGAGTGTTACGTTTATGTGGAAGAAGGATGTTAATTAGATAATCTGACGCAGATCAAAACCAGAATTTGAACTGAGCCCAAGAACCCACTGGAAACTTTTGAACATTGGTGTTGTGTGTTCATGACAATAAGACCTAAATAATAGTCTGCCTTCTGTATACTTTGCCAGTTAAAGTTAACAGTTTTAAAGAAGTGGTTCTACATGCAACGTGTTACAGCAAACATGCCAAATATGGGGCTATCCCTGGAGGGTTTAGATCATACTATTATTGAAAATATGCATGCAAAATGTAATATAGGCCAGAAAATTGTGAGTTGCCATTTGGTTGTGACAAATTGTTAGTCTCTTTGGATATTATCCCTCTCAATGGTTTCAGCACTTTAGCTACTCTTCCCAATCAAGTTTTGTTCTGTGCTCCTTGTCCACCAGGCATGCAGAGGATCTGTGAGGTATTGGAAGAGTGTGAACGTGAAATCTTGAATGAAGCTAAAGACCAGTCCCGCCAGTCTGACTCGGAAGGCAAAGCGGACAGCACAGATGAAGTGATCTTTGTGTCCCACCACCAAGAGCCAGTCTCTGGCGGCAGCTCCAATCTGGGCGATCTCATAGGCCTTCTGCAGCAGCAAATGCGTTCATCTGACTGGCTGCAAAAGAACACAGTGGAGCAGTTTGCACAGGAGAAACCAGAGGTTTATGAGGTTTTCAGCAAGTTGGTGGGGAAACAGTAGAACCCCCATTTTGTGCCAGGACCTGTCCATGGAAGTTTTTGCTGTTTTGACTGATACAATGTTATAATTTCGATAACAAGTATTTTAAGGAACCATTTTGCAAACCACCCTCCTTGGCTCTTCTTTCAAAACCATATTGTATTGAGACCAGCCACAAAAGGGTGGCTTTTATTTGATTCCCACCTCCTGTATTGTATTTTGTATGTTTGTTTTTAGGAATCAAGCATATGTTTTCATGTGGAGAGAGATGAAATTGTTGTTTGCGATGTTTCAGGTTTCATCTTTTCGTAAGGGAAAGGTGTTTTTTTTTAACAGCTGAAGAATTTCTTAAAGCACTAGTTGCGATCTGAAATGAAATGGGAGTATTGAGGAACTTGAACAGTTTGTCAACAAGTCACTTTAACACAGAATTTAGATGCAGGTTTAAATGGACTCAAGTTCAGATATTATAGTACGGGTACATAATATTTGTATATTAGTCACGTTTTCCCGTGTATGTGTGTGTATATGTATGTATGTTCCAGTATGTATGTTCCAGTATTCCAAAGACCAGTTCAGAAGGAATGCTTTTTGCTTCTGAGCTATGAATAAGGGACCATAGTCTTAAACATACTCCCTTTACCCTTTTCCCTCTCACAAATGAATTGCCTTCCTACCCTAGACATTTACAATTGTGATGTTCTTTTCGTGAAATTATCCCTGAATTCATTCGTACGCCAGCAGTGACTTTAACCATGGTCAACTATAACCAATGATTCACTTCCTGGTAGGATCTGAATCAAGTGTTGCTCAATTGTAACTCCACTTAATGTTCAGGCAAACATCATGAGCAAGAGAATACCCATAAACTGGGGAGTAGAATATAGTCTCTTGCAGTCTTTCCCTGATTAAGGAAATGTCACTGTTAAGTAAAGGTTTCCCCTGCCATTAAGTCTAGTCGTATCTGACTCTGGGGGGTGGTGCTCATCTCCATTTCTAAGCTGAAGAGCCAGTGTTGTCCGTAGACACCTCCAAGATGGTGTGGCCAGCATAACTATATGGAGCGCCATTACCTTCCCGCAAAAGCGGTACTTATTGATCTACTCGCATTTGCATGTTTTTGAACTGCTAGGTTGACAGAAGCTGGGGCTAACAGAGGGAGCTTACCCCACTCCCCTAATTCAAATCACCAGCCTTTTGGTCAGAAAGTTCAGCAGCTCAGCAGTTTAACCCACCGTGCCACCAGATGTTACTGTTACATCTGCATTATTCTAGAAATTTTAATGCTAACAATGAATTAAATCTTAGTGACTTAAGACTGACATCTCTAAATTATTTCAATGCTGCCCTCAAGAGGTCAAGTCTTGAAAATGACGAGTAGTGGCTAGTCCAGTTGTTTCTTCATTTCAGACTCTATTTCCTGAAATGTTGCCATTAATTTGGGTTTCTCATCTACGGTGGAATTTAAGGGTATCAATTCCTTATTCACAGAATGACTTCGAGATATATCTTTCTTCATTATGGATATTTGTACATCTGTGATGATCACATTATGGAGAGGGTCTCCTAGTATACATGGTTATTGGAGAGGCTGAAGACAAACCAGGATATTTTACTTAAATTATATTCACCGAAATCTAACTAATGGGAATGTGGTAAGTTAAAATGGATGTGAGCTCTACTGAATTTATTGATGTGCTCTATAGTTTGCCTTCTATGTTCTGTACCAGTTGAAGATGAGCAATTGGATTTATACTATGGAGTGAAATGTTACCAGTGATGAAAATCTTAACATTTAGCATAATAAAACTAGAGAAGATGAAATGGTAGAACTCTACCATGATGATTATTGCTCCAATGGTTTGTGGAAAGGGAACTTTTTTCCTCTTAATTGGTTTGTTTGTGGATCTTACTTTTACAAAATGTGTCAGTAATTGATAAGGCTGTTTTTCAGATTTACTTTTACCAATCGGGTAACTTGTGGTATCTGAAAGAAAAAGGCAATGCAAATTAGAATAGATTAGATTTGCATGTATTGCTTTTTTCTAATCTGTATGGTATGTACTGTAGTACCATTGGCAAATTGCTCTTAACCAATTGTTCTTTTTAAATTTTCACTAATTAAACCTCAAAATATTACTCAATATCTAGCTTCAATCTTCCGCCTGTATCTGTTGATTCAAGTCCTTGTTCCACCTTGTTTTAAATGGAGTTGACTGTGTTGATCTTCTAATAATAAATTCTAAGTTTTGCTCATCAGATTGAAATTTGAGTCATTTATAATCTGTATACCTTTTTTGTTTTGTTTTTTCTCAGGCATTTGAAATTATTGGGAAACGGAAAGGTAACACTGACCATTTAGTTCCTCAGTTCTTCATTTGAAAGTATTATAGATCTACAATAGGCCTCAAATTAAGGGGTTTTTTTGTCATGTCAGGAGCAACTTGAGAAACTGCAAGTCGCTTCTGGTGTGAGAGAATTGGCCGTCTGCAAGGACGTTGCCCAGGGGACGCCCGGATGATTTGATGTTTTTATCATCCTTGTAGGAGGCTTCTCTCATGTCCCCGTATGAGGAGCTGGAGCTTATAGAGGGAACTCATCCGCCTCTCCCTGGATTTGAACCTGTGACCTGTCGGTCTTTAGTCCTGCCGGCACAGGGGTTTAACCCACTGCGCCACCGGGGGCTCCAAATTAAGGGTGAAACAGATGGATTGCATTCTGCAATTCCCCATAAGTGGGGAATGGGAGTGTTACAACATAAGCTAAAAATGCCTCAGTCATTTGGCAGTGTAGAAAAATTTTGAGCATGAATGCGTGAATGTTGATTTCACTATTTAATTTATTTATTTACCGTATTTATTTCCTGCCTTTCTCAACCTCAAGACAGCCTTACAACAGGCAGCAATTTGATGCCATACACATATATCAAATAAGCAATTACAATTAAAACCAATAATTAAAACATGAATTATTAAAAACATAAATTAAAATCACGCTATGCAAAACATAATCCAGGGTCATTCCATTTGTCAATCACATTGCTTCATAGACACAAAATGCACTGCTTCCAATTACTTGTCAAAAAGCTTGGTCCCAAAGCCACATCTTGAGGTTTTTTTTTCCTGAGGGTAAGGAGAGAGGGGGCTAATCCGATCTCACTGGGGAGGGAGTTCCATAGCCGAGGGGCCACCACTGAGAAGGTCCTGTTTCTCGTCCCCACCAATCGCACCTGTGAAGGAGGTGGGACTAAGAGCAGGGCTGTGAGGATTTATAAAAAGACACCATAATGTAATGGATTGACTGAAAAGACATGTGTCGGCAGCTGATTGGCTGAGCATGCCAGGAGCCAGAATTCTGATTGGCTACTGTCTCCAGCTTGCTGCTGGGAGGAATGGTTTTAACTGCCATTTTCATCTCAGAGAGTGAAGAGAGCACTGACTGGAAACAGCCAGGAAGGAAATAGCTGCCAACTCTCTGAAGCTTGATCATTTCTAAGACTGTTTAAAAAGGACTGTTTATTCCCTCTGTTCTCTGTAAGAATTCAGAGAGGCTGCTGTATATATTGTTGCTCTGTTTGACCTTTTAAACTGAAGTAAAGTTACTGTTACTTGTTACACAAATTTGAGTGACACATTATTATACTGCAGGGTATATTTTGGTTGAAAAACAGTGGTAAAGCTTCTGTTTATTTACATTACAACCCTCAACAAGGGCCTCCCTAGATGATCTTAAACTTCAAGGTGCTTCATAGAGGGAGATACGCTTGGACAGGTAAGCTGGGCTGGAACCATTTATGGCTTTATAGGCTAAAGCCAGTACTTTGAATTGTGCTCAGTAGCAGACTGGCAGCCAGTGGAGCTGGCATAAGAGGAGGTTTGTGTGCTCCCTGTACCCCACTCCAATGAGAAATCTGACGGCTGTCCTTTGGACCATTTGAAGCTTCTGAACAGTCTTCAAAGGCAACCCCACGTAGAGTGCATTGCAGTAGTCTATTCGGTATGTAACCAGAGCATGGACTACTGTGGTCAAGCCTGACTTCCCAAGGTACTGACACACAAGTTTTAATTGTGCAAAGTCCTCCTAGCCACTGCTACACAGTTATGGCATTTTGATACCCATTTCAACTGCCATGGCTGTATTCTATGCAATCCTGCAATTTGTAGATTGTAGTTTCAAGGTACAGTAGAGCCCTTGAGCAAAAATCCTAAGTATCTCATGAAACTATAAATCCCACCAATCCATAGAGGAGACCGTGGTGGCGTAGTGGGTTAAACCCCTGTGCCGGCAGGACTGAAGACCGACAGGTCGCAGGTTCGAATCCGGGGAGAGGCGGATGAGCTCCCTCTATTGACTCCAGCTCCTCATGCGGGGACATGAGAGTAGCCTCCCACAAGGATGATAAAAACATCAAATCATCTGGACGTCCCCTGGGCAACATCCTTGCAGACAGCCAATTCTCTCACACCAGAAGCGACTTGCAGTTTCTCAAGTCGCTCCTGACATGACAAAAAAACATAAACAAAACCAGTACATAGCACGGGGCTATGGCAGTTGAAGTAGAACCAAATTGGGTTGAGTGAAAAGCCCCACAGTCTGATCTTTCTCTTATAGAAGTGGTTATGATTAGACTTTTTTGGCCAGTTGCTTGGTTTGTTCCATATTTTATGTGTGGGGATGGACTTTGCATTAGATTATCAAGAACAGCTAATGTATGCTTATCCCTAATATAATAGATGCAACATGTGTGTAATTTTATTAAATTGCAACATTCAGTCCATTTTATCCTGTGGTGGTCCTAAGATATAATGACGTACATGCTCAGTATGAATCTGTGTTGCCTAGCAACATCTTCAGAATGGGGGTCCTCAGAGAAAGATAGAAAGCATGGCTTCTTTTATTAGCAATGCTGATATATAAAGCAGTATTTCTCATTTTGGGCAACAAGCAGGAAGGAGCTTACTTTTCTGTAGGCAGAGTATTTCAGCTTCCCCAGTATCCCCAGCAGGAGGGAGGGATGAAGTAAACTGGCATTGCTGGGGGATAGGTTGCACGTGTGAAAAGAGAAAAGGAGGAGAGAACGAGAAGAACAGCATTAGATTTTCAGAAGTATGCAAATGACCAATAATATAAAGAACTCTTCTCTTAAAGGTCTCTGGATCCGCAAGCTTTGACTTAAAAGGGAAAGCAAAGTTGTCATACCTTCAGAACAAGTATCTGCTTTGAGGATTAGTTAAATTATTGAATATTCTGCTGCAAAGAAATAAAAGGAAGTTCTAAATAAATTTAATATTGATATCAACTTAGTTGTTGTAGGTTTTTTGGTCTATATGGCCATGTTTTAGAAGCATTCTTTCCTGACGTTTCGCCTGCATCTATGGCAAGCATCCTCAGAGGTTGTGAGGTCTGACAACCTCACAACCTCTGAGGATGCTTGCTATAGATGCCTGCGAAACGTCAGGAGAGAATGCTTCTAGAACATGGCCATATAGCCCGAAAAACCTACAACAATCCAGTGATTCCAGCCATGATAATACATTGGATATCAACTTATCCAATGTATGGCTGTCTCAGTGCAAACTGAAGGGGGAACCCTATACTTTTAATGGTTGTGTGGTAGACAGCATTTCAGCAAGTGTTGTTTATTCCCTGGTTGTAAGGCAAGCAACGTCTGCTACAAATTTCTTCATTTCCAAAGTCATTAAAGATACAGGAGGCATCTCCATTTTTTACTCTGGCAACTCTTAGTCATTGCTAGGCAATGATGCCAATGATTACAAGCTATTAATTGTTTTTCTCCATTAAGAGAAAGCCATGGGCTAATCTCAGAGAGGAGGCAGACAGGCAGGGGAATGCACACAGCATTCTGCAATATGGACTCTCACTAAAGTTGATGATCCAACTTCAATACCGGTTTGCCTGGCTCGTGTGATAAAGTCCTTGGTGTTAACCACCATCTCTTGTGAATCAGCCTACCAGATTTTGATTGCCATTGCCTTCTTGTCCAAAAAAGGACAAGAGATAATTAGCACCAAAGGATCTCTCTCTCTCAAAAGCTGCATTTGCAGCGCTAAAGGGCTGACTTGAAGGTCATCTATTCCAACTGTAAGGGTTTATGTAGGTTATCCCATACTTAACACCCCTATCATGTTAGCTAATATCATCTGCATTACGAATGCAGAGCAAGCAGAAAACACGAGGGACTCAGAGATGTCAGAAATTCCAATGTGACAAGGATTATATAGGCACCTAGAAAGTAGTGTAAACTATGCTGCAAGTTGTAGAAGATAGTGTACGACATGCCCTAAACCAGGCCTCTTCAACCTGTGGGCCTACAGTTGTTTGGCCTCCAACTCCCAGAATTCCTGACCATTGAATAAGCTGGCTAGGAGTTCTGTGAGTTGGTAGCCCAAACAACTGGATGGCCACAGGCTGAAGATGCCTGCCCTAATCTACTGACAGATCAAAAAACTGGGACAAATGTGGTTAAGCAGAGGATTAGTTGGGACTATCCTTGCCAAATTGGAACAGCTGTAGACTGTGACATGATACATTCTGCTGATCTGACTGCAGTTGTGTATGTCCTTACATACTGTTTAGATATGTAAAGCTGGTGCATGAAAAATCCCAGTGAAACAGGCCTAGCAATATAGAAGTATCCCCAAGTTTTATCTTACTAAATGCTGGGCAATGACCAGTAAGCTGCCTTAGGTAGGGCATAATGTTAAACTGAAGTCAAGAAAAAGGTAAACCCATCTTGCCTTTTACTTGCTACTGCCTACTCTTTCCTCCTCTCCTCATTGTAGCTCCTCCCAGTCTCCAGTTTTGTGCTAGACCTTGCACTATTGCTGCTTTGTGATTGTTTTCTCCCTTCTCCTAGTTCTGAAAATAAGAGGATAGACACAAAATTGTAGGGAGCATACTTAGTCTGGGTCTTATTCTGAGTCAAGTATTGACGCATGGTAGGAAAAAAAGGCATGACCATAGAGATGTTGATGGGTGTGTCAAACATCTGGAAGACCACACATCTCCAATTCCTGCAGTAAAGGAATGGAGGGCATTCTCTAGTAATTAGACAAAGTGCCCAGTCCTTTATTCTATCCTAAGGTGAATTTGTGGGTGAAGGATGATGCTAGAACAGGACCACAGACCCATAGAATTGGAAGAGATTCCAAGGGCCATCCAGTTCAACCCTCTGCCATTCAGGAATACACAATCAAAGCCCTCCAAACAGATGGCTAACCAGCCTCTGCTTAACCTCC